AGGTGGATCTGACCCAGCTGAGCGGGGAGGTGGAGGAGGCTGCCCAGGAGAGGCGGGAAGCTGAGGAGAAGGCCAAAAAGGCCATCACTGACGTGAGGCTGGGCCTCGGCCGTGCGGGGGGGCCCAGAGCTGAGTTCCAAGGGACTTTCACCTCCTGACCATGCCCGCCCCACTCCACCAACAGGCGGCCATGATGGCCGAGGAGCTGAAAAAGGAGCAGGACACAAGCGCACACCTGGAAAGGATGAAGAAGACGCTGGAGCAGACGGTGCGGGAGCTCCAGGCCCGGCTTGAGGAGGCCGAACAAGCTGCCCTCCGTGGCGGGAAGAAGCAGATGCAGAAGCTGGAGGCCAAGGTGCGTGTGGCCCTTCCAGTCCTTTCCCTGGCAGGGTGGGCCAGCCCGAGGGCAGGCTCCGGGCAGCAGGCCCATCCCTGGCTGCTCGCAGGTGCGGGAGCTGGAGGCCGAGCTGGATGCAGAGCAGAAGCAGCATGCCGAGGCCCTCAAAGGGGTGCGGAAACAGGAGCGCCGGGTCAAGGAGCTCGCGTACCAGGTGGGTGACCAGGTCCTGCCTCTAGGGGTGACCCTGGAGCTGGCCTGGTCTGGGCAAGACCTGAGTCGCTTTTGCCTGCCCAGGCCGAGGAGGACAGGAAGAACCTGGCTCGCATGCAGGACCTGGTGGACAAGCTGCAGAGCAAGGTCAAGAGCTACAAACGCCAGTTTGAGGAGGCGGTGAGCGCACGGAGTCTGGGCGGCCGGGCCTGGAAGTTGGTAACCGCATCAGGGCTGGTTGCAGCGCTCCCCGGCCAGGGGCCAGCAGCGGCCGGCCTCACTCCTCCCTCGGCCGTGGGCTCCCCAGTGTTGTTGGCTGTGTGTGCCTGCAGGACCCCACTGTCCCCGCTCAGCTTAGAGACCTGGCTCGGTCTCCGAGGGGACCCCACGTGCTTTCCCCTTCCTGCCGCGGGTACTGGCGATGCAGGAGGAGGGGAGTAGGGAGTGGTGGGTGGGGGGAGCAGCTGAGGGCCAGGAGAAGCCGGCCCCCTCGGGGGATGGGGTGGGACCAGACTGACCCCCTCTCTCAGCTACCAAAGGGTGACCAGGCCTGCCTGCACCCCCAGGAACAGCAGGCCAGTACTAACCTGGCCAAGTACCGCAAGGCCCAGCACGAGCTGGATGATGCAGAGGAGCGGGCAGACATGGCAGAAACCCAGGCTAACAAGCTGCGGGCACGGAGCCGGGATGCCCTAGGGCCCAAGGTGAGGGGCTGCACAGGGCACCCCCTTGCCCTCTGCCCGGGGGGAGGGGGGTGTGGTGGCGCTCACTCAGCCACTCCTGTCCCCGTAGCACAAGGAGTGACGCTGGAGTTCCTGGGCTCTGAAGACGCTGCCTGCCTTGTGCCCTCTCCTGCCGCCTCTTCATCCCAGTCCACCCCAAGCCCTGCTGGACCCTGAGTAAATGTCGCATCTGCAGCTCTAGCTGGCTGCCTTCTCCTTCTTTGAGGTTCAGAAGAAAGGAACACATGGTCCCTCGACAAAAGTCAGGTCCACATCAGTCATTTAAAATAAAGTTCTTTAATAGTCTCCATTTAATCGGTTTATTTGTTGTTAATAAATTGGCAACACAAGGAGGGGCCGAGGGTGTGCTCCTAGCCAGGCTCCCGTGCGTGTGGGCTCAGACAGGAGACACTGCCCCGGGGCAGGGCACAGTCACCCTGTGCCCCAAGGGATGGAAGAAAAAGGCCCCCACTTCTAGGGGAACCCCCTGGGATGAACACAGCGGCCAGTGAGCAAACAGAACCAGAGGAGCTAAAGGAAAACAGGGGAGGGAGGGACAGATGGGCAGGTGTGGAGGGAAGGCAGCGTCCTCTGGTAGCTCCCACCCCTGCCCGGGGGCGCTCAGAAGCCTTTGCCTGGGTCCAAAGGCCGGAGCAAGCTTGGCTCACAGATTGGAGGGTGCCCGTACCTCCCTCCCCACCCCAGGACTTACAGCCAAGAGACGGCTCAAGAGCTCACAGAGAGCTATTTTTAAAAGTTCCTTTACCTCTGGGTGGGCCAGGGCCCCAGGGTTGTGAAGGGTGGGCATAGTGTCCCTGTCCTTATCGTGGGGATCTTGAGGGAACCGAGGTTCCCCCAATGACCTGGGGCCCTCAGACCCAAGGGCCAAGGGCTTCTAGATGCTCCCTCCCACCAAGCCTGTACCTGAAGACCTGGGGCAGGCAGAGTAGTGGGGAGGCGGGGAGGGGGGCTGCGGACAGGGCACGGCGTGTGGCACACGTACCCACGCTCACCCACACTGGCCCTGGCCCAGCAGCCTCCCGAGGCCTGGCCCAAGGTCACTCCTCGGTGAAGTCCCTGTCTATGTCCATGTAGGGCTCCTCAATGTAGCTGACAAGGGCAGAAGGCGACTGGCGGTCTGGGTTCAACAGGATGGACACGGTCTCCTTCCAGTATGAGAAGCTGATGCAGGAACTCTGGGCAAAGAGAGAGGGGCTGGGGGGGCGCCTGGAGGACCCAAGTCGAACCCGGCACCCCGTGGGGAGGGCCTTGGTAAGGGGACAAAGAGCTGCCCGCCGCACGGCCCACCCACCGGGGCTGGGGGGGGCGCTCACGTTCTCCAGGCAGGTGCTGTCCTTGTCCTTGTGCAGGTAATGCTGCTGCCAGAAGCGCAGCAGGTTGTGGAAGTTGTTGAGCAGGAAGCCGGGGTACTTCTTGCTGTGCTCCATCCGCTGCAGCAGCCGCAGGTACAGCGGCAGCCGCTCTTTCCGCCGGGCCAGCATCAGAATCACCAGGCTGGTGTTGAGGCAGCTGACGTTCTCCTGCGGGGCGCCAGGCCACGCAGGTCAGGGGCGGGCAGGGAGCCCTAGGGGCTGCCACGGGGCAGGGAGGAGGGTGTCCCACGCCCAGACCCTGCGGGGCCCCAGCGGAGTCCCCGGGCCACGCACCCAGCGGCCTCTGCACGGACCTGAGAGGGCCGGGGAAGGAAGGCCGCCAGAGCCGCCAGCGGACCGCGCTGAGCACCTTCCTGTCCCTCCTCCACCCACCACCCATCCCCACCCTGGTGGGACCCCAGCTGGTCCAGTTAGAATCCGCTCCTCCTCCAGGGCCAGCTCGGGCATCGCTTCTTCCGGGGAGCTCTGGTTCCCGGAGCTTCGATCCCTGGGTAGGGGGGCTGCCTGCATTAGGTGCGGCTGCCTCACTTTCTACCTCCCACTCGGCACTAGGCTGGGCCCGCACGAGAGGAACGGTCCGGGCCTGTTTGGTTCACTGTGCAGCCCCAGCCCAGTGCCCTGCCTCGGTAAGCGTGTGTTAGCTGAAGGAACAGAGAACAACCTCTGAGGGGTACAGCATCACCCTCCCTCCTAGAAAGGGAAGCACAGGGAAGGGACAGACGCAGTTAGTTAGGGAGGGGGTGGGAGGCAACATCAAGTCCAAGCCCAAAGCCTGCACAGCGGGAGGGGCGCCAAGAGCACTGGACCGGGAGTCAAGAGCTCAGTGCCAATCCCGACCCATCCGTGACCTCGGAGGCTTGCTAGCCCTCAGGCCCCGTCTGTAAAATGGGGCACTGATCCCTCACTGGAAAAAGTCCTCAGAATAGCCGGCAGCGTTGCCTAGGAACCAATAGATGGATCAAGATACACTTCCAGGGGAAGGTGGGACAGATCAACCATCGGGCTCCAGGATGACGGAAGTTGGTTCCCATCCCCCAGCTCCCTTCCGTAGCGCGGGTCCGCAGGCCATCTCACCTGGGTCAGTGTCTGCACGTGGATGATGTTGATGAGGCGGAAGAGGAAGGACATCTGCGTGGGCACCTGGGATATGTAGGCCAGTAGGCGGCACTCGGACAGGACCTCAGCCACTGGGGACAGCAGAGCGGAGGTGTGAGAGCAGGCTCAGAAGCCGGTCTGGGGCTCAGGCCTCCAGCCAGGCCCACCCTGGGGACCCGACTCCGGAGCTGGGAGCCCGACCACGAAGCGGCCACGGGGGCCACGGGCGCAGCAGCTGTGGTGGGAACACGTGCGTCTCCAGCGGTGCTGCCTCCCAGGAAGGCCCCTCTTCCCTCAGTGGGTGCAGGGGCCACCTCTCTCCACGGCCCCCCCTCCCCTCGGCTCACCACCTGCGCCCCTCTCGCCGCAGGCAATTCCAGCGGGGGCGGGGGCGGCTTGGTTTTTGCATTTTGCTTGCAACAAGCGTCTTCACTTTTATTAAAATGTGGGTCATATGAAAGGAAGCACAGATGACAGGAAAGGCAAAGCAGCCAAGAAAATCTCCCGGAGAGCCACAACCTTGACCCCAGCCACGTGGGCACTTGGGCAGCTGCGTCCAGCCATGTCTGTCTCCTCGCGAGATGCTGGGTGTCGGACACCAGCGCGGCCGCACCGGACCGGTTCGCCCGGCCGTTACGGCCTTTTCTTACCTTTCATGTCCACCTGGTTTTCGAATCGGTCCAGCGACAGAGTGACGCAGCGCACCAGCATGTTGGAGTCCACCAGCGAGCTGTTGATCTGCTTCAGGAACACCTGGAACTGGAGTGGGGCCCGAGCTCAGACGGGCGGTGGCAGGCTCCCGCGGCACACGGTCGTGGCCCACGGCAGGCCCGCTCGCTGAGAGGGGCACCCATTTACCCAGGCCCGGACGAGCTGGGTGAGCTGCCCCCCAGCAGGAGCTCAAGCCACATCGGGCACTAAGCCCAGTGGTTTTTGCACCGATGGGTGCTGGATTCTTCTCATTTTCACTTCAACTAGCCTGAGCTGTGTTTCTGTCAAACAGCCCGTGAGGCTAACACACCAGGCCCAGTCCTGCCCTTCTGGGGCTCGGCCTGGCACCCACCGCCCCACATCAGGGCCATGTCACAGCCCACCTGCTCCCACTGTGTCACGGGCCCAGAGCAGCTGCGCCCATCACCCCCACACAGCCAGGGTCTAGCGCAGCCCTGGCCCAGAGCCCGGGTGACTGCCCACTGACTCCCCAGTATTCTCCAATTTAAAACCAGCATCTGAAGACTAGCGAGGGCCAGGGCTCTAAGATAACTTCATCATCTTTTTTAAAGATTTTATTCATTCAAGAGAGCGTGAGCAAGCACAACCAGGGCGGGGGTGAGGGGCACAGGGAGAAGCAGGCTCCCCACTGAGCAGGGAGCCCAACGCGGGGCTCGATCTCATGACCTGAGCCAAAGGCAGACGCTTAACCAACTGAGCCACCCAGGTGCCCCTCCGAGATAACTTCTGAACAACGCAGCAAACCCCACAGAGCCCAGGTTAGTCTTACCTTTGCATCAGTGTTGATGTATTTGTTGAATCTCTTGAATGCATCAACGTTGAACTTCATTAACTCCCCCAGAAGGTCAAAGTAACTCTGGAGCACATCCCTTGACTTGCACTCGCTGTCCACAATGCAGTACAGGATGTGCTGGGGGTGGGAGAGGACAGGATAAAGGCAGGAAGGTGGCTGAGCCCTGGGGCCAACCGGCAGATGTGGCTGCCGCCCCCAGGCTATGCTCAGCCAAGCTGCCCGCTGCCTGCCGGGCACAGAGCCCCGACCACATGACGCCTGCTTCGAGTAAGCATCCACATCAGCTGATGGAACCTGTTCCCCTGTCTAGATTCTCATCTGGGGATGCTGGGAGCTCCAAGGGTGGGGCTGGGCCTAATGCACCTCACCAGCGGGTTGGGGTAGGCAGCTATGAGCTCTCCTGCTTGTCTAGGGCTCCCCAGCTTGCAGGCGAGGGGAGCTGTTTCCAGAAGTCATATGGGCCCCTGCCTGAGCACTGAGGCCATTCAAGTAAATGAAGCACAGGGTTTAAGGACACGGGACACATTTTGACCCCATGGTTTGTCTTCATATTTATGAATAAAAAAGTTTATACTAAATCAATGAATTTTTATCAGGAACATAAAACTAGTTTAACTTAATAAAGTTTTCTATGATAGTTCAACTGTTTCCATTTTTCATTTTCATTTTCCTGAAGTTATGCTAATTTGGATCAATTTCTTAGGGATTTTACAGTTCATGGGTCAGTTTCTTGTTTGTATCCCTTTTTTATTTTTTTTAAAACCAATTCTATCTTTGGCCAGTTTGCTCCCTGCCTTTTATAAATTTTGCTTTTTCTGAAGACTATTTTACAATAAAGGGAAATTAACTTTTGGTCAACAGCAAAATATCCTCAGGGTCAAAAGGCCTTACTGGGTAACTTCAGACTCTTCCACTCTTCCATGGGCACCCCCAGCTCCCTCAAGCATCCATTAAGCAACTACAGGAACCCACAGTTGGAAACTCAGGGGAGGTCCTAGGGCAATCTGCACTGGCGTTTTAAAATAAAGAGATGTGGTCTGCTCCTGACCAGCTGTCTAGGGCTCAGGAAGGAGAGCAAATGCATGGGACTGCGGGGAGAACGGGACACCCAACACCCTGGCTCCTCCAGGCCATTACCTCCAGAAGGCCTCGCTTCAGCAGGAACATCTGGTCTGCATAGGAGGTGGTCCCTCGGAGGAAACTCTCCACAGCCCGGGCTTGCCAAAACCTGCGACCCAAACGTTGACCCCTGGCCCAGGTGGCTAAGGCTGCCCTCTTCTGTCCCATATTCCATTCACCAAGGCGCTGGGAGATGTTTGCTGCCTTTTGATTTATTCAACATTTACTGCACATCTGCTAGGCGTCAGACCTCATACTAGGCACTGGGGACACAGCGAGGGTTAAGTCCTTACGGAGCGGACAGTTCAGTGGGGGAATAGCCCTCTATGTGGTTCTGTCTGGAAGCAGCTGTGTCTCAGAGTAGGGGACTCTAGGATCCAAGGGCTGGTTACGGTAGGTCACATATGAAAATGCACTCTAGGCTTTGACCTTTCACAAGAACAGGGGGACAACGGAAAGTGAGGACGGGAATGCAAGAGGGAACCAGACAGACATGTGCAGTTGGGCCACTGAGCTCACTTCTGATGGGCTGTCCTAGGGAAGACGTGGCCCCAGGGAGCAGGGATGGGATCAACGAGGGGAAGTCTGGACAGGTCAGGCTGAGTTGACGGGGGGCATATGAGGGCGCGGAGCCTACTGACGCATCACACCCCAGCCCTGACAGAATGCCTCCCCTTAGCCGCTCTTCTGTCTACAGCCTTCACGACCCATCTCCAGCCAGCAGGAGGAGCTCTGAGAAGCCCTCCCTGTCCCCGCCCACCCCACCAGCCCCCAGCTGGGGAAGGGGCTTTCCTTTGCTCCCTCAGCTCCTGGCGCAGGTCCTGGCTCGGCTCCTTTTCACACTGCATTCGAACAGGTGTCTTTTCATGCTTGTTTCCCACAACCCAGGGAACTCCTGTGGGCAGGGGCCATAGCTCCTATTTCCCTACCACCTGTCCAATGCCAGCACAGAGTAGGTGCTTGGTGAATGCTTGGTCAGTTCTTGAAGTATCGGGCTGGTATGCAGCAGAAGCTCACACACACCTGCTGAGTCGGACCCCCACTCCCCCACAGTAGTCAGATGTCCAGGGTGGGAGCTGGTAACTAAATGAGGTATTTCCAACCACCTGGGAAACACTAGGTTTCTGGGCCCTTCAGGAGTGGCAGGTGCCTGTCCCCAGACCTACCTGAAAGAGGACTCGGCTGGCTCCTTCTTCATGACCTGCAGCAGACGGGTTAATAAGCCCCTCTTCCCATCACACACCAAACTCCTGGAAGAAAACAGGGACATTGGTGGCAGACCTGAGGCTGACAGAGCCCAGTCCCATTTGGCCAAAGGACTACTGTTGTCCTGGGGCCCTGAGGCTGGGTCGCTCTGCTACTTTAGGTGGGTGAAAACACCTGGGGATATTTCCAAGCTGGAGGAGGTTCCCCTGCTCTGCCTGGGCCCAGAGCACCCCAAGGACTCCTGCAGATTTAGAACCGAAGAGCCAAGTGAATTCACACCACCTCTCAGGCCAGCTTTCCCTTTCCAGACCCACTAGCAAGTGATCAGAGGCCAGAAAAACCCACAGTCTGTGCTCAGAACTGCTGGAGGGAGGGCTGTTTACACCAAAGTGAGTCTGAAATGCCACAACAGAGTCTACCAGATGGGGCAAAGTTTGTGCCAGCAGGGTGAGACAGGGAGTACCCTGGGCCCCACGTTCAGCTCCAGCTGGCTTTGGCCAAGTCCCCGTGCCTCCAGGCCTCAGCTTCCTGGTCTAGGAAGCAAAAACATTAGATGAGGAAATGACTCGGGCTGCATCACGGGGGACAGAGGGTTAAGCAAGCAAGGGTTCTAGGCCCTTAAGTTCCCTCTTCAAATAGAACAACTCTACTTTTATCCCCTACAGACATTATGAACTATGCATGGCTTCATTTGAACGGATTTCTCCTGCTTTTAAAAAAAGGGGGGGGGG